TTATAAAGTATGTGACCAGTATTTATCCAATGCTGTATGTAATTTAATGATTTATGTACACTTTTATTATTACAAACTTTCAATGTTAAGATATCCAGTTCTGGTTCATTTGGTACCTAGAAAATTCATTACTATTAATATTGTTAAAAAAAGACCAACAAGCATGTATCTGTGTTTTAAAAAATGAAATTATTCATACGTTTTTTGAGTACTTATCATAGAATGCATTCCAGAAGTGCTGTCTTCTTTCTAGAATATGGTCTGGAATTTCAAATTTCATAGAATTGTTCTTTCTAACAATTCTGAAACACACATATAATACTAATAATTAATGGTGAATTATTAGAAATAGTGATATAAAAGTAAATGTAAAATATACAAAGCAGTATACAGAATAAACTGCCTAACATAATTACCTTAGATGATTCTGTTGTTTGAAATATTTTTCGTGTCACACAATATGGTTCAAACTTTCAGCTTCAAAGAAGCCTAGAAGCATAGGATGATTATAGTGCATTCTTTATCGGTCTATTTTTTTTTCGCAGTTTTCAAGGTCACCTTCAGTTTTTTCTTTTTATGTATTACCGTATAGTCTTTTTTGGTCATGAGTTAACGGATATTGAGACGAATTCAACGAGTATAATACAAAATATTTTTTTTATCTAGAGGAACGATACGGCGAAGAAAGGTATACAGGAAAACGTGATTTTGTAACACTGGATAACATACAATGTCTGCGACATCTTCACTTTTTTTATTATTAGGATGTTTTTTTACTTGGATACTTTTTTCATTGTTTCTTTAATTCAAAGATAAAAGATGAAAGCTAAAAGATGAACTTAAGAAAATTATAGGTTTATTCATAAAAAATTGAAAGTGGCCTTGAAAACTTCGGGAAAAAAAATGGTTTGATAAAAAATGTACTGCAATCATCTTAAAGCCATCTTTGAACCGTATTATACGACAGGAAAAATATTTCGATCGATCCACTAACAGGATAATCTAAGGTGATTACATTAGGCAATTCACCCTGTATATTATTTGTACTATTTTATTACAATATATTTAATA